TGGAGATGTTTTTGCGAGTGGATACAAAGTTAGTACAGTAATTACGGTGGCAAACGTATCCCAAACGTTTGCTTAACTTGGGTTTGTACTCAATGCACTACCGCAGAATTAGAGGAGACTTGATCCTCACCGTAACCTAGCGGGTAAGATCTGTCCAAACTTGGCCTGGCTATTTAGTCCCGTCAAGTGGCCTAATCTCCGAGGTCACCCGTTGAAGTTGTACAAACTGCGTTCTGACCTGGTTATTGAACGTTGGAACTCGCTTCCGGAGCACGTCGTTAGGGAGTCTATGGTTGATGGTTTTGTGCGTCAGTTAGATGCTCTTGTGTGGCAGTACCAAACGTTCTCCTAACTGACTTGTATCTTCAACTTTCCGTTCGTTTTTTAACTTTCTCTCACACCTTGGTATTATCATTATTTAGCTGATCTTCCTCCTCTTGTTTTCTTAGCTTACCCTTCACTCTTTTACTTCGCATAAACCGGCCTGGTAAGGACTGCTGGACAGGAAAATATGGGCAGTAATTGCTTGGACAGGATGTGATGCGGTCTCAAGCAGACCTATCAATTCCCGATCCAACGATGCCCAAAAGAAGGAACATTCACGGGATTATCCTATCGTTCCGGTCCCAACTGAACTTAAGCTTTCTCTTGACGAGTATTTGTTCGACGTTGTGCAAATCTTGGCTAGCAATCTACTCCACTCATACTTTCCGCAAGTTATGTTTTTTTTTAACATGGGTCGTATACCGCTTGTCGATGAATATACAAGATTATTTGTTTACTTTTATATCTGGCTCTTTTTTAGCTTTCCGCGGAGCAACAAGTGAGCTTTCGAGCTTTCGAGGCTGCTTTAGCAGCAGTCAACTCGGGCCTTCTGGTAAGTTTCGTGTGCAGTTGTTCATGAACCTGGCTTCCCCGTTTTGCTTATCTTGGGGTCGTATTCCAACGGACGACATTTTGTACGCTATCCGGTTTTTGCTTCTCTGTCTCTCGCCAAACGCCATGTAACTAATTATCATCTTTTGGCGCCTATGTTTGGCTAGTAAGTACTCTTGATTGCTTGGCTATACTTCGCACAGCTAAATGCATTGAATCAGGTTGCCTTGCGTCACGTGAACATGCTACCAACGATTATGTACTACAAGGACCTATGACTGCAGAATAGAAAGATACATTTTCCTTGAAAGTAGAAACCAGAATCATTGCATGCTGGTCGTTCTCGTCATCATCGTTCTACACGTTAGAAGTGAGAAACACGTCAGCTTATATACTCTAATAAAACTATACCGGTTGGCCGCGAAAAATACAAGACGAATTATGTTTCTCGCATCGTTAAGCATCAAGGGTGAGATCAGAGTTGGGGTGGGTGGAAAGGGATACTTAAACTCACATCGCAAACGCCACAATCATGTTCCTCGTTATTGAGACCACGATCTTAAAGCTGGGACACATCGTCCGAGGATATGTTCTAAGTGAGAGCCTTCAATCCCCTTACCTGAATATCGGATGGCTTCTCCGCTTTCTTCACTTAGATCCCAGGGATCGGTGCACTGATATTCGTGACACCTCGCCCAGACATCGTAGCCTGGTGCGTGAAACAACAGGGCTGAGCTATTCACTTACTCTTCCTGCACCATACACTAAACACCGAGCACTCATAGTGTTCCAACCAGATACTAGCTAGACAGTAGAAGTACAGGTTACAAAGTGTATGCGGATGCCCCATATTACGTGATTGGCTAGACTACAAATTCTTTCGTTGTTCACACTTGTTCATCCGAATTGTCAATCCACATGCATTTTTCGAATTCATCTCACCGTGACCCAAATGTCAGAACTACGCTGGCGATTTCATCTCATCTGTTTACAGTTGTCCACTCGTTGCACTATTTGAACCTTGCTGTGAGTGTGCAACGCGCTCATCCGTATTTCACATTTGTCCTTCAAGCGGTTAAGCATTTCCTTTGATTCACTCTTCATATCAAACCCCCATGTTGAGACGTTATTTGTACACTTATCATTTCGAATCGACATTTCTAGGCTCTTTCGATAGAATTACATATTTTTGTTACCGCGTTGTTCTTGGAGCACACAATGTGAAGATGCGGAGTGCACTATGCATTTCTCTTCGCTAGTAATACGGTTTCTAGTTTTCGGCCTTCTTTTTGTGTTGATAACTGGGGCAGCCGCATTATTAAGGTCCTTCCAAACGAATCTGTCGCTTATACTACCGTACAGTGTTTCCTCACTCTGGTGAGAGGCGCATCAGTGCAGGCATACAACTTAGCAAACCACGATACTTGTCAACGGGAAGCACTCATTTCCTATCTTGGATCATGTCTTCAGCAAAGAAGCCGCATGAAGCTAACGATGAATATGGGTCATTTTAAACTTCCTCATATCAGTTATAATGCGGTTTCTTGTTTTCAGATTCAAATCAGCAGTAAGAGGGGGCGGTTTGTGGGATGATACGGTGCGTTCAACTAGCTGAGGTTGGTCGAATATATGAAGGAGCGCTTGTAACGGAGCTCGCCGCTCAGAAACGGCTTTTTACTCGCCGATTACACAGCAAATATAGCCAAGCTGCGAATTAGATGTCGACGTTTCTGAGCTATCTTTACTTTTTAGTCTGTTACCATTTGTGAGTTAGGGCCGCTGAATCGCTTGCTGAAGCTTATCACAGATCTGCCTCATGTGACAACTTTTCTGTCGACTTTTAGCGGGAGTCCATCACTTTAAGATTGTACCATTTCATGCTGTCTGATCATTTGCAGACTAGAGACATATATCCTTCACGCATGAGAGGCAACGATCCTGAACTACAAGGTGGCATTAGGGCGACCTCTGTTTCTTTAGGCAAAAAGTAAGGCATCATCGAATAAGGGTGACAGCACGACAAGCAGCGTGATGATTATCAACAGACAACCTAACGTGCTATCTATCGCTGGACAAGTCATCAGGTGGACTCGATTTCTATACTTACATGTCGAGATCAAATCCACTGCCGTAGTCATGACTTCTAACTGACGTTGTCCTAATCCCTGTATACAGATGCATGTAGTAGAAGCAGCTCTAAAGCTTCCTAGATGTTCATGACACTTGCTCTCATCTCACCGACCGGTTGGCTTGGGTCTGTGTGTGTTCCATTCTGACCCATTTCAAAACAGTCGGATTTTACTAACACACACACACACATATATATATATATATATATATATATATATATATATATATATATATATAAGCATCCTTCTATAACTAGACGTTCAGCCATCAGAAAACAATGAGAGATAATGCAAAAAGAGAACAGCTTTTTGGATTTTTTCACACGTTTTTTTATCATTTTTGATTTAAATAGCTCTAATCACTTTAATTAACCTGTTGAGCCTCACCCAAGACGAAATCGTCGGTTGTGGAGTACAGAGATGGGAGAGAGTCACACTGAAACCCTCCACTCTAATCACTTTGTTTACAACACCTAACTATGCATTTCTTCCATCGATTCCGGTTTTGCGCTAAATCAGCAAGTGGGGCGAACCATTGGAAATCCTCATTCTTACAACGCTGACGATGGCGAGACAGCAGGTTAACGATTTCATGCCTTACCGCCCAATGTTTGATTGACGTCCACGCGTTCTCTTCCGATTTTTTCTCATACGAGCAAAGAAGGTGCGGTTTGGTGAGCGCTCGCGTGATATGCGTAGGCGGTGGCCATGCCATCTCAATCGATGCATTACAACAAGGCGATTAAATGGAAGGCTTATGTCTCCCAAGACGCGACGCCGGGCTACATTGTTGATAACCCGTCACTAACACCGCGCACAAGCTATCGAAGACTGAAAGTATACTCATGCAGTCCACACTAATCGGTCGAGATTCACTTCAGTACAACATTAAGGAGGCTCCGCGCATATACCTGTCATAGGCAGAGTGCCCCTCAAATAGTGGAGACAGATCCGAAATTGAGATGTCTCGTTGCAGTCAGACAAATAAATCCGCACTTGTTCAAAATCAAGTGCGTTCATTCATTCATTCATTATACACATCAGCTAGAGGTGGAAAAACTCCTCCGCTATTGTGCCGCAATACATGAAGGAAATACATACGTACATATAATACAATACACAAAGGAAAAATAGCTACAACAGTTGCATGCCAGCTGAGCTACCAGCAACGGATAGGCATCGTTCCGGTAAGCTACCGGCCAGCTACTAGGCAAAAAGAAAAAAAAGTATTATGTTTTACCCTAGGAAATGAGATCGTAGATGGAGGGGGAGGCTAAAAGGGATGGGGAGGGACAAAGAAACTCACAGCACAAACGCCACTGAGGTCGGCTCCTTGGCATTTCAGCAAGTGTATCCAGCCAAACGTGTTCACCGTCTTTTGGACCCCAACCAGGGAGCCGTGACGCTCCAACCGAGGCTAGCTCAGAAGTGAGGGACTTCATTCCCCTTGACCAAATCATCGCTTGGCCACCTCTCCTCTTCTTCCACCCACATTCCCGGTGAGCAAACAACGCACGTCGCGGGAGTCAGTGGGCTGGCATGCGTAACACGTGGCCGAGCCATCGGAGCCTGGTGCGTGAAATAACGGTGCTGAGCGGTTCGGATCCTTTTCCTGTGCCGTAAACAATGCGTCGAACACGCTCGTTACTCACGCGGTGTTCCCACCAGATGTGAGCCAAACTGCGAAGGCACCGATGGTCGAACATAACTAGCCTCTTCATGTCCGCCGACCTTAGGGGCCAGGTTTCGCAACCGTACAGTAAGGTCGGACGTACCGCTGCATTGTACACTCTACCCTTCAGGGCGAGAGTGATGTCGCGCCGGCGCCATAGGTGGCGAAGGTTAGCAAAAGCACTTCCAGCTTTTGCTATACGGTTCGTGATCTCGTCTTCGATCCCAAGGGCGCTGATACAACTTCCCAGGTAATTGAATTTCTGAACGACTTCTAGCTGATCCCCACCAAGGGTCAGCGCAGGAGACCATCCCTGCCAATCTTGGAGGAACGCTTTGCACTTCGATGGTGCAAAGCAAAGCCCGAAGCGGCTGACAGCCAGTGCTAATCTGCCCAGCGCGGCTTGGCACGTCTGGGAGCTGTCACAGATGAAGGCAATGTCGTCTGCATACTCCAAGTCAAGAAGTCGTTCTCCTGGGAGTAGCTCCACACCTTCCAAGTCATGTCCTGTAAATGCAAACTCCATGACTTCGTCAATAGCAAAGTTGAAGAGAAAAGGTAAGAGCGGGCATCTTTGTCTCACACCGCTGGAGATATTGCAGGGTGGCGACAGCTTGCCGTAAGCCCTCACTCTGCCCGTGCTACGCGCATATAATGCTTGGGTGTACCGATGTACGGATGTACCGATGTTGTTGATGATTGATGTTGATGGAATCCCGTGGATGGATAACGGATCTCACGAATCTGGGTTTCATGAGCGCCGGTCAGTCTGTGAAGAATTATGGAGGCGAGTAATTTGGAGGCGATGGAGATCAGACTGATTCCTCTATGGTTGCAGCATTCCGATCGCAAGCCGCCTATGAAGGTGGGAAAAATAACGGAGCGGCTCCAGTCGGTTGGGACAGTCTCCTGCTCCCACAGTTTCACTAGTAATTCATGTAAGCATCAACAAGAGCAGAGCCTCCGAATTTGAAGAGGGCTGGAGGAAGGTCATCTGGTCCCGCGGCTTTGTTCAACTTCAACAGTCCGATCTCACGTTCGACTTCTGAGCGAGAGGGTGGATCCAAAGGGACAGCCCACGGAGCAGGGCGATCAGTGACCGGCGAAGAATCGAACAATTCTAGCCGATTAAATTGCTTTTCAAAATGCTCAGCCCAACGCTCCAAACGTTTTGACAAATTGTGGATAGGCTGTCCACTC